TTAAAAAGTATAGTATCTTATTATATAACATGAAAAAAATTAAATTAATAAAATGTTAGCATTTATTGCAATACGATACCTTGATTCTTGTTTTCAAAAATTTTATTTGTAAATGATATGTTTTAAGTAATTTAATTCAAAATACTAAAATATTAAACAAAAATCTGTTGTAATTTAATTAAAAACTTTAAAATTTGAATAAAATTTACTATATTCACAATATCATGACTTTATAAGAAAATAATGATCTTTTTTAAATATTATTCGTAATACATGTATTAATATTTTTCTAGTGATTATAAAAAGACTTTCGTTGAAAAATTAAAATTAATTGTAACTTGAAATATTAAAATAAAAATATGATAATATGAAGAAATTTTTTTAATGCATTCTTATGTTACTAGACAAGAAATTATAATTTCTTACATTTAAAAAGACTTAAAAATGATATTTTACTCTATATATTTTTAATACTCAATCAGTTTTAATTTATATAACACTTTTCGAATTTTGAGATTCAGATAAAAAAATTACTGTAATTCTTTCATGTTGTTCAATATTTGAATTGTAAATTTTGTCTCTAAAAACTTTAAAATTTCATGTCGGAATTCCCGGTCAAACAATATAGGCTTGAAATTTAAATTATGCATAAATTGAGACATGAAAAATGTATAACGTTTTGAAAAAAATTCCTAATTACAAGAACATTACTACCGTGCACACTAATTGTCACCACCCAGACCGTCGTGATTGACACCCACACTAACACTCCGGTGGGAGAACCACTACTACAACTCAAACCAAGCAAATAATCTAAAAACTAAGGCAATTAAGTTACGGAAGCAAGCTAATTAACTAACAAATGCGGAAATTTAATACCTAGAACCTGAAAGTCAATGTACCAAAACATCTAAACAAATTATCCAAGTTTAAACAAGAAGGGATACATCCCCAAACTAATGAACTAATCAACTAACTAGAACAAATATCTAAGTCTGGAAATGATGGACATAGACGAAAGAGAATCCCATGGCAGCCCGGAAGAATTGGCTCACCCTTGAATTCGAAGCGACGATCACTGATCTTCTAAACGAGGTCTGTCAATAGTCGCGTGAAGATACCTTGTATTCAACAAAATATGAGCAAGTGTAGAATCAGTACACAATCAGAGTGTACTGGTAGAATCACACAGATATCCCACTAGTGCAACATAAACAAGTCAAACAACATTATAATCACATGCATATATATCAACATATACAACATTATCAACATTTATGAACAACCAACAACTTCACATTTTATAGCACATCATAAGTCCTCTCACGGAACCCAAACTCAAACCGTTAGCATGTCGGAACGTGGCAATCCGATCCAAGTTAGTTATGCCAGAATGTGGCAATCTGATCTCATTCACACAACACAATCACAAACACAAGTACATCATCAAGATCATACATTTAAGTCATGATTGCATGGCAATGATATTTCATTTATCTCATTTACAACAAGTGTGATCAACATTGCAACATTCATACATATACAAGTATTATAATGAAACAAGAACAAGCATACATCACACAATCATAGAATCACAACCATCACCTACCTTGAAACAAGCTTAAAACCCTAAGAAACTTGATTATTCCCTTTCCAGATTCGTTCCGCTTGTTCTTGGTCTACAAACAATCACAATAACATGGGAATCAACAAACAATCGCTAATTACCCGTAACTATAGCAATTCTATGAACCCTAGATCAAACTCATGATCCCAACTAACCAATTTAAGGTTGTTTTAACCATAGAATCTATAACAAAATCCTTCCCCGTCATTATTCACCCATTCTATTAGGTTCTACGGATCGAAAAATGGATTTGGGGACTGAAAAGCTTACCTTTAGCCTTAAGAATAGTGAAAAATGAGTAAGAGTCGCATGGGGGTTGTTCCTTAGCTCAAAAAGTCGAAAAGTGCATAATGAGGTCGTTTAGGGGTTTATTAACGACATTAAGTCGCGTTTGGCCCGCCACAGCGGCCCTCACCCCATTGTAGCGGCGGCGCCAGAGCAACCCAAATCCCCGCTAGAGTGGCCTTTTCGAACCAATGAACTATTCCTCTTTCCCCTACAATTTTAAGTCTCGCCGTACTCGCCACAACGCCCTATATCCCGCTGTAGCGACCCCGCCAAAGCGGCATTTTCGAAATAGAGAGCTATTTTAAGGAATTCCAAACCCTCATTCCACAACACACTTCTAACCCACGACGCTCAGAAAATACCATTCATGCTAAGATCAATTCCCGGAGATCTACTCACCCAAATTCAATTCTGTAAAGTCGTACAGTTTTCTTAACAAGTTATCTAACTACTCAAGCAATCAAACTCAAAAACAACTCACCCGATTGTTACCAGATTTCCCCACACCTCAAGGACTCCGATTTCGTCCAAATCCGGACAAGGTTGGAAAAATACAAATACTACGAAAAAGTTTTTCTGGCCCCAAATTTCCCCCGTTGGCATTTCTATAATGACAGAACCCGATCGTTACACTAATTCACTCTGTAGTTTGAAATAATTATATATTATGTCATAATTAATAGTTTCCTACCACATTTCATGTCATATACACCACTCCTCAGATTTCAAGGGAAATGCATGTATCAAATATACTAAATACTAGTATCTTTGATGCGTGATGCATTCTAAAATATAGATTTATCGACAGAGAGACAAGCGTGGCTCGTATATTATGCCAAATTTGATTTGTATATATGTAATACGGAAGGCAATCATTTATTAAAGAAAACCAAAGTGAAGAAGACACATAATTAAATCATAAACTACAAAAATTTGTGTTGTTTGCTCTAATTTTTTAGATTATCATAAGTAAGAGGTTTCATTTCTCTTAGACATCAATTTGGGTTGTTCAAACAAGCGAGCAAATTATGTTAAGTTTTTATCTCATTAATTACTAAATATTTCTATCGCGGCTCTTCTAATTTTTTCCCTCTACATTTCTTCCTCTTCTTTCTGCGTATGATAATTTTATATATTATTTTAAACTCAACTTTTCTCAATCAATTGATTTTACTTATTAATGAAAAGAAATATTTGAATTACTTAATTCTTCAAAAGAGTAATTTTATATGTTTGCATATTAAAAATGTGAATTTTGAAAAAAAAATACATGAATATTATGAAATAATTTATAATATTTTATTAAATTTTGACTTTAAACCACTGATTGCATTATCACTACCTATAATAATCCGCCCATTTTGTTGTGTATCATGAACTAGTGTATTTTTGAATTAGTCGTAATTGTGTTAGGTTAGCACTTCACTTTGTTTTAATTGCTACTTGACAAATGATATATTCTCTTCCGCTCACTTTTACTTATTTATTTTGAATTTTTAATGCCTCTTAAGAAATAATAATTGATATGAGTATTTTATCATAATGTTCATATTAATTAATGTTTGGTATATTAGGTCTTCAAAATGATTTGAGAAATAAATTATAATGCTAAACATAAAATATGTAAAATAATAATAATTCTATTTTCTTAATAAGTTAAAAGTGACAAGCAAAAGTGAATTTATTTTTAACATAATAGCTAATTAAAAGTAATCGAAGAAGTAACATTTAGTTGGATATTTTGAAAGTTGGGACGTGTCTTTGTCTTTCTAACGGAGCATTGTGCTTTCAATTAAGTTGATAATGGACATGGTAGTTGTTGATTTTATTGGAAATCTTACGGAAAATACTTGATGTCAAGATATATATATATAGTCATTTTTTATAGGTTGGCGCATATCAATGACACCATCTTTAAAGATATTTTATCCGGTATAAGTATATCCCAAAGATCAACAAGCTCTTCTCGTAAAAAATTAGAAGCACATAAACTAACAAAAATTAAATCAAAGAAAAACCAGCACATCAATATGATATAGAGGAAAGAACCAAAAGAACAGGAGTTGAGATATATGGTGTGTTTAGTATGAAGAGAATGTTTTCTTGAAAAATAAGCTAATCTATTACTTATTTTCTTGTGTTCGGTGAGTAAGCAAAAAAATTATCCTAAAAGAATTTGAATATAATCTAGACAAATACTATGGAGGTGGAGGTGGGTGCAGGGCTAGGGATGGGGATGGTGGTGAAGATGAGGTAGGTTGGAGAGGGGAGAGAACACAATCAATGTAGAATACAACTCATGAAACCCGTGACCTTTAGGTTACACCGAGACAATTTTATCGTATGTTGATGACCTGGAGGTAAGTCCCTCCACATTATTCCTCATCAGAAAATGGGCTACCTTGTAGCTTCTCTGAGCTAAAATATCAGCTAGAAGAGGTGGCTACCATCTCCATCTCCATCATTGTGTCATTTCCTTCTACTTGCTAATGATTTAATTACAAGAGCCCCCTGTAAATGAATGTCCAAACTTCAGGAGGTAAATGAGCTGAGCAGCTTCGCGAGCGAATAACATCTCTTTACGTTCACCAACCAGGTTACCTCCACACTCAGTCAGTCCTGTCAAGCTATCAGTTCTTGTTTGATCCAAAAGTAACAATAATTCCTCCTGCTGGGTGAGGAGACCATTAGGTTGAGAGGTAGTATTGTTATGATTCACCTTTCTCCATCTCCAACTTTCCACCTGATACTAGTCAAGGATCAGCAGCTGCGCAGCAAAGTCACAAACTACACTCTTTTTTCACAAGGACCATAAGATTCTAAATGACTTGGTGATTCGTCTCTTGATTATACTCCTGGATAACTTTCCTTTGGTGACGCTGACTTGCCACAAGGGACTCCGTAAAACAGGTTGCTAAATTTGGAATGTGGAGATTCTAACGTGATTGTTGGCAAGAGGAATGACTGAGCAAGCGCATTCTGGCCCCTGTCTGGATGTCATAAGAATCTAACCTGGCGGTGTTAGAAGATGTAGCTGATGGCCTTTGCTCATCATATTTAGGGAAAGTCACTGCCTGGAGTCCAGCTTGTTTACAAAGTTTGTGATCACATCAGATGCTTGGAGGAAAAGTGGTTTTTGACCAGCTTGTTGTTGTAACACCATTATGTTGAGATAACAGGTACTCCGTGATAAAATGCCTCTGATTTCTTATACATGTCGAGGTCTACAAGAACCAGATTTTAATTACTTTTTCCACGTTTCTGAACCAAAAAACTTGGTTCAGAGAAAGGATCTAAAATCCAAAGCAGTTACGTTCTTTACCAAAACTCTCCACATGAACATGATCCATTAGTAAAGTGATGAAAACGATTAACATCTCTGACGATGATTTCCCTCCGTGTTACTTTTGAAGCAAACTTCATGAAAGAATGACAGTCCCCACAGATCCTGAGGTTCTTCATAATTCTTATAGGAGCAGTTGAGGGCAAACACATCAATCCATATGTAAAAGCAAGCTTCTCACTATGATGTCTCAGAAGCTCATGTTTTCTGCTCACTTCCACATCATGCAAGTCGTGTTCGGTTTCACCTTTGTAACCTAACTTCTCCATACCTACCAACAATTCATCTAATCTTGAATAAACCTCTATAATGCTTGGATGATTTCTCTCCCCGACCATGAACGTGTGAACCTTGTCTTTTATCTGTATCCAACTCTTGCCTCTTTCTTTCTTCGCTTCACTGTCTTTAAGAAGCTTTCTTGTTGATGCAACATCGCCCCACCTTCTCTTGGAAGCATATATGTTTGAAAGCAAGACGTGGTTTCCAGCATTATTAGGCTCGAGCTCAAACAGATGTTTAGCAGCAATTTCAGCCACCTCAACATTTCCATAGACCCTGCAAGAGGCCAATACAGAACCCCACATGGAAGCAGTTGCAGCAAACGGCATATTTTCTATTAAATCCTTAGCTTCTTCAACCAAACCTTTTCTACCAAGAATGTCAACCATACATGAATAATGATATACATTGGGAGACAAGTTATGTTCTTTCTTCATCTTGGCAAAATATATCCGTCCCTTGTCAACAAGGCCCATATGACTACAAGCAGATAACACAGAGACGTAAGTCCACTCATTCGGGTAAAATCCTGCTAACTGCATTTTCTCAAACAACGTCATCGCCTCTAAAGACCGCGCATTTCTAGCCAAGCCAGAAATCATTGAATTCCATATTACATCATTCTTCACCTCAGCATTTGAAAAAACAATATACGCTTCGTCAACACTTCCACATCTTGCATATAAGTCCACAAGAGATGAAGCCACATAAACATTGGCACCAAAACCAGTTTTCCACACTATAGCATGCGTCTCATTCCCTTCTAACAAAGCAGCCATCGCAGCACAAGCAGATATAACCGAAGAAAGAGTAAACTGGTTATGCTCTATCCCGGACTTTTGTAGCCTATGAAAAAACATTATAGCCTCCTCATATAACTCATTTTGGACATATCCAGCAACCATTGAACTCCAAGTAACCTCATTCCTCTCATTCATAGAATCGAAAACACGAAAAGCATATTTCATCAACCCACATTTAGCATAAACATCAAGCAAAGCAGTTGACACAAAAACATTAGATTCCACTGATACCTTAATAGCAAAACCATGCAATTGTTTACTTTCTAAAACAGCAAACTTAGCAGCACAAGCACAAAGTACACCTGAAACAGTAAACCCACTAACCTGACTCCCTTCCCTTTGCATTCGAACGAAAAGACGCAGAGCTTCATCTTCATCTCTGTTCTGTATATACGAACCCATCAGGGTGTTCCAAGAAACAAGTGTTCTTTGAGGCATTTCATCGAACACCTTACGAGCGAAATCAACAATGCCGCATTTCGAATACATGTTGATGAGCATGTTTGTTGTCAATATATCAACTTCATATCCATATTTTATAATCTGGGTATGCATCGATTTTCCGGTCATTGCATTCCTTTGTTTTGCGCATTCTTGTACTGCCCGGTGCAAATATGGTAGAATAATTGAATTTTTGTACTCTCCATAAACGTTGTGTTCTTCATAGTCGGATTTATGAAGTGTAGCATCGGCGATGGAGGATAAATTTCTCCGGCGAGCATTACAGAGATTGCAAAACTTGCTTCTTTGTAAGGCATTCATTTCATGGCTTTCAGTTTCAAGTGTTTAAACTCAACGATAACTTATTAGGGGAGGCTAGTTGAATATTGAATAAAGTCATATTGCCTATTGGTCTTGTTTCTATCTTTGGTTGCAACTCTAACAAAATTATTACGATTCGATATGATTTGTGAATAATATAATTCGAAATCTTTACTACTTACCTATTGTCTTTGGTTTTGATAGTTTGCTAAAAGTTATCATTTTAAGTTTAATGCAGCTAAATATCGTAAAGTTGAGCAACAAATATGGCCACAAGAGACTATTATTGGTAATTGTAGGTCGATAAAGATTGATTTTTTAGGTTAAGTGATGTATAGCGAAATATTAAATCAACTTGTTGTATCTAGATATTGATGATGAAACTAAAGATTTGTATTGTCTATAAACTCTCCTAGTATGCAAGTCATGAAGGACTGATATGTCTTCATGTTATATTCAATATACCGATTAATTACTTATCATAATAGTAGATCATCATAATTCAAACTTTTCAATTATGACACCTCATCTTAATTTATGTAATTTTTTTCTTTTATGTACGTCTCTTTATTTATTTCATTTAGCTCATGATACATTTTTTTCTTTTATGTACCTCTCCTTTATTTATTTCATTACATGAGACCTCTTCCCATTATTTCAATCATGATACATTTCTTTTATAATTTTAAAGCTACAAAAAAAATAAAAAATTATCATGCGACTCATGACAAATTGAAATAATTTCATAGTACGGTCAATCAAGCTACCTTGTTAGATTAATCACAAATAATATCTTATCGTCACAAGTTCTCTATTGAATTGAACCGTAACTTTTTCCGGAAGCTTATTTCGACCTCGATTTCAGGGTCATATATGTCATTTGCCTTGCTCATAAGCCTAAATATACATATTTTTGATAAATCAAGTTCTTGGATGCCAAAAATATAAAATTAATTGGGCCATTAAAGAATGCTTTTTCCCATCAGCATTAGCATTTCATGGCCCTTTTTTATTTGTTTATTGGGCCAATTTTAAATGAAGCTTTCACTGACAATTGGCCCGATAACGGCCCACATAGATTGTTCAAACAATTTCTAATTTTATTACTACATGTAAAAATTACCTTTAATTGAAAACTTACGCGGAATGGAAAACCTTTAGAAAATATCATGTAATATAGCTATAGTTGAAAAAATTTATAATTCGCGGCTATAGTTTCGCAAAATTTTGTTAGTCGGTTCTTGATTTGATATGTTTCAATGTAAGATTTTGTTCATTTCATCATAATTTTTACTAGTATAAAAAAATATCAATAATGTACAAAAAGATGTCTTATCAATATAATCCTACAAATAGATTTAATAGTGACATGTGGTGTACTTCACTTCATTTTCATCCAAATATCACTATATAATATATGAGGTGTTCCATTCAACATCCATCACAAGTGTTGCTTTCATAAGCAAAAGCAATCCACATAAATATGGAAATCTTGATGAGCTACATTTGCTATTACCACATATGATACCTTTCTCTTTCACAATGATGGAGGTCATGTTAAAAGTTTGTATTTTAATTATTTTATTGAATATCTATTATTTTAAGTAATTTTCAATACATAAAAGACTAAAAAAATAAGACAAACAAATTAAAATAAAATAATCATAAAAAATGACCAAAATACCCCTATATGTCAAAGCAAGCATGTTGATCTAATGACTCTTTTGATATGTAAAACTCCCTCTTATTAGATAGTAGAATATTTGTATTAAAAATAATAAGTTTGCTCATCAATGACTAGAGTGGTTGAATATTTGTGGCTTAGGGGAATTGAATCTACATCCTCTAAAAGAATTTGATCCACTTTTACTATTAAGGTAGCTTTTCATCTGTACTAAAGAGATTGAACATCTAATATATACACAAAATAAAAATTTAACCCTACAAATAAAGTGCGCTTTTCTAATGAATAGGGTTCTGATGAACCCCTCCGATCCGGTCCACCTAGATCTGCCCATGATTTATTGAGGACTAAACCATATCTACCCTACTTGCAACTCTTAATAGATGAAAGTTACATTTCAACAAGTAGTTCAAACTAAAAAGGAACCAATAAGCCATCTTTCTTCTTGTGTTACATTGTTTTCTCTATTAAAAAAAAAACACCATGATTCTATTTCCAATAGCAACCAATTGACTTTGAAGAATTAATAATGAGAAAAAAAAATACATTAGCTCAAAAGGATAAAATAAAAAGAAGTTATGGGACCATAAAAAAGTTATGAGACAATTGTAGATAAAATTGGCCCCTCCATTGTATCTATTAACATCCAATTCTTATCACAAATAGTCCCAAATTCAATCACAAAAATCATTACACACACAAATATACACATACAAGATACAATAAGTATATATATCATTATAGCATATCTTTTACTAGGATTCTATAAGTAAGAAGAGTGATAGAAAAACTATGATTTTCCACTCATTAAAATATTACTCAAACAGCACATTCTTTAATTTCTTGGTGGATATATAAGCAGCCATATCAATCCATAAGTCAGAGTATATGTTTTTATAGAGACAAATTACATGTGATTCTTGATTTAGTAAATGGATGGATGGAGAGTCATGACACCACTAAAGTTGGTCATTGTCTCCCACATCCTACATCAACCTATACAAAAACAAATAAATAAATCATGAAAATAATGTTTATCAGTCACTTTTTTTTTATCATATTCTTGAAAAGCAGTTAATCTTATAGAGTTTCAAATTTTATAGATGAAACTCCACGACATTCAATTTCCTTATATTTTTACGATCCATCGACTCTGCAGCCATGTCTTTAGAAAATAGTTATGAAATGGAGTTTTAAATTTCATATATGAAAAATCAGTTTAATATCATAAGGTTCATATATGAAATTTAATATTTTATAAAGGTTGTTGTTTTCCAATTATAAAAAGTGACTATTTGTGTTACCCCACATTGTCTCACCATGGTTTGTGCATTTTGGGCTCCAGTTAGATAAGTTCTTAATGTTGACTCCCAAAGATTTTGAAAAAGAAAGAAAAAAAATGGACAAGAAACATTTTCTTTAAACTAAGGTCCAAAGACTTTTTAACAAAGTATATATTGTTAAAGGTAAGTAGAAAACATTTTTAAGGGCCCATTTGATTGAGAGATATTTCATCAAATATTTTGAAGTACTTAAACTTTTGAAAAATATTTAATTTCAAGTGAATTTCATGCTCAAACACAATATCAACCTCAAGTACTTATTTTTCATCATCAATCAAAGAATTGTCCAAACAATCGTAAATAATTTGAAGTATACATTCTCTTTTTATTCTTTCTTACGTTTTTCCTTCAAGACTATTATGTTACACAAACATATATAAATCTTATCAAATACGATATTATAACAAAATTTGATTTTAGACCAGTAATTTTATTTAATCCCTCCTTGATTTTTAGTTTCTACTATTTTCAAGCACATGTTAAGAATGACATGGTATCCATGTGCCATATTCTAGCAACTCCATTCATTGTGGCTTTAATCCTTGATTGGATTAACAAAAAGAAAGAAGGAGAAATAAAGTAAGGAAAGTGGTATTAATTAATTAAGATCATGATGGCTATATAAGTAAGTTCTACACAATTAACTAAAATCTCATAAGCATAATGAGAACATCATTAAAGATAAAAATTTGTGGAGTATTTTACACCACCCACATATATAATATATAGATATATTAGTGGCCAAGTGCATGCAAATCTTTGTGGCTACTTTTGTAATTGCAAATTTGCAAGTTGCTATCAAGCATTTCTACTTTCTAATCTGACCCAATTGAAGCATCACAAATGATGCAATAAAGCTTTTGGGATAGTTATTCATACATACCGTTTGGTTTACTAATTTATTAATATGATCGAGATATACATAATATATATTATACTATTATGGTATATATTGTATATAGATATGTATATCAAATATATAATATATGAATAATCTGTGGTTGATCTAAGATTTTCATAAAGGGGTTTGAAAAATAAAAGTATAGTATTTGAGATTTTGAACTTGGAACCTCAAGAGGAATTTTGAACCCCTAAGGCCTAAACTATTAAGTCAACATTTACGTTTAGGAAATCAAAATACATAAAAAAAAACCTTATATATCTACTATCTAGTGTAATTTTTTACTTAAAGGGTTCGGATGAGCACCCTCACATCCTAGATCCTCCCACATGTCTATACACTTTGTACATATTTTATAAATTAGATGATTGAATATTAATCCAAACTCATAATTATCCCTCAAAACTTTTCGTATTTTTCATATTTTAGTAAAGGACTCTTTTTTAAATTAACCTATGTAGTGTTATATTTTATAGATTTTTGCTAATCTTATTTCTTCGATTACTAATTTCATGTTTCTACTTAACATAATTAGATTTATGATTATCTTCTATACTAAAAATAGAAAAACTAAGTTCTACAAATGACACTTCATATTGATTGTGTCCTCTATACCGTTCAACACACCTCATATTCACCATATATATATATATATATATATATATATATATATATAAATATATATACACACATTATTGCATGAGTCAAGGATATAATAACTTAGCAAATATTCCCTTAGTTCATTTGTTCACCCAAATATTCATATATGAATAAAAAGTGGAGTATTAGTATTAAAAGCATCGTATCATGAACCAACTTTCATGTCAAAATCAATTGGAAAATTTACTTTCTTATCATTTCTGACTTTCCAAGTAGTGGAATCTAACCAATTGGATACACAAAAATCAATTAAACTATAATTCCTTATTGGCATATATGCCTTTTGATAGAAATCTAAGATATATTTTAAGCTAGGAACCTTTATCTTATCTATGATTCATATATGGAAAAAAAACTCTATCATCATGTGATAGTGAAATGTACAGAATTTCTTCGTCCTTAATCAGAAATT